GGGGGGGGCGGGGAATAAGAACAATCTTTAAGATACTCTGCACATTTCATTTATTTGGGAGGACATGTAAGAATTTTGCTGCCCTGCAAGTGTCCTAAATTCCAAGAATGTCCCACATTTATACAGAACTTGTACAAATTTCACATATATCACATAGCTTCTAAGTGGCAAAGCAGGAACTCAAATGCAGGACTTCTGATGCTAACTTTAGTGTGTTTCCCCCATCACATCCTGATTACACCTCATCAGGAAAAGCAACACTCAACATGATTACTTATGACAAAGTGTGTTTAATTTTTAACATTTTTTAAGCTGTGTCTTATACTTTGGAGAGTTTTTCTAATTAGAAATAATTAGTTGCATATGCATTCTGATCTACCCTTGTCAGTGGGTCTCAACCCTTCCTATCTCATGCCTTGCCAGTCACCCTGTCGAAGAGCATTTATCCCTTTCACACACCATTTATTCCACCAAAAACGAAGTTTCTCCTCGTTTGTTGGTAGACATTCTGTTATAATTTTCATTCATGGTAAATTCAGCAAAAAAAATTAATTAATTTTTAGTAGAACACTTCTCAGCTTTTAAAACGGCGGTATGTCTGGTGATTTTATAAAGAGCAAGCTACCGGGGCCGCCTGAGTGGCTCAGTGAGGCGTCCAGCTCTTGGTTTCGGCTCAGGTCATGTTCTCATGGTTTGCGAATTTGAGCCCTGCATTGAGCCTGGCTTCGGGCTCTACGCTTAACAGTGCGTAAGTGCTTCAGATTCTCTTTCTCCTTCTTTGCTCCTCCCCTGCTCTAATGCACATGCTCTCACTCTCTCAAAATAAATAAAGAAATAAAAACTTAAAAGAAAAAAAAAAAAAAGAGCAAGCTACCGCACACCATAATTCCTAATGGAATCCTACTAACAGCATTTAGAAATTTCTGGAGAAAATGAATTTGGGGAAACTCCATCTAGACGTTTGTTTTCTTGGTTATCTTTTGAAAGCCTAACACTCAACTGTACCATTCCTTCACAGTTTGTTAAGTGAATGTCTGGAAATCCCACCAGCAAATGATATTAATGGATGGTAAGGGCATCGTGTGTTGTACTCCCTTCCAGATAGAAGATTTGCCCTTTGACAGGAGTTATCAGGACTGCCCTGAAAATGACTAATGTAGGCTCAGGCACTGCGGGCAGTAGAGAAATGTGTGCTGTGGTGAGGTGAGGGAAGAAGCTTCAGTCATAGGTCGAACTGCCAAAGAGTAGAGAGCCTGGAGTCTGGTTTGGGTTCTTTCTAAAGCCAATTGAGTGTGGTCTGTGTGGGAAATAGTGACAAGCATGAATTTGACTCACTAAGAAACAATGCGGTTATGTCATCCTACGGGGCAATATGCACCTCCTACCTTTTTGTCCACCTTCACATCAACAACAGAACATTTGCAAGATCTATACCTTAATGGGCCTGCTCAGCAGGGAAAAATTGCTTTCTGTACAACACATCTGTGTAGGAATCTTTCTTTCCTAAGCTTCCAGTCAGGGTTGTTTGGCTGACAGAATTCATCTGCAAATAGTTTTGTTTATTTTTGCCAACTGCGAAAAATCACTCTTCATTTTGCCTGTAGCTGGAAATTTAGACTCATGTCCATTTCAACAAAAACATAGTACTCTTTTGTTTTTTTACTGACTTGTCTTCTCCTCAAGTGTTGCAGTGGTTTGTTCCACTGGTACCAGTAGAAGTGAGCTGGTTTATCCCCCCCCCCCCCCAGTTTGGTTTAACTAGATACGCTAATTCCATATTGATATGTATTTTATTTTTTTTTATTTTATTTTTTTAAACGTTTATTTATTTTTGGGACAGAGAGAGACAGAGCATGAATGGGGGAGGGGCAGAGAGAGAGGGAGACACAGAATCGGAAACAGGCTCCAGGCTCCGAGCCATCAGCCCAGAGCCTGACGCGGGGCTCGAACTCACAGACCGCGAGATCGTGACCTGGCTGAAGTCGGACGCTTAACCGACTGCGCCACCCAGGCGCCCCATGATATGTATTTTAAATGGGTACACCAGTGACTCCCTAATTTATAGTTAAAATAATTTTTATTCCAAATATTTTAATCCTAGATGTAATTAAAAAGGAAGGAACACAACCACTAAAAATGAAAAATTATTATTTTATTTTAAAAGACAAACTAAAGTGTAACAATCTGGGTATTGAGATACAGAGTAATTTTTATACTTTTTAAATACTTTTGTGAGTATTTTTATTTCTACAAAAAGAAGACATTGCCTTTGTAAGCATAAAAATATATTTTGTAGTTGTAATTATCTTTACATCTAGACTGCCTGTTCGTGTTTTTGTTTTATAAAATAAGAAAA